GTTGATAAGGATGTCTTACGCCAAGGCTAGGAAAAGAGAATATGGGCAATGAGTTTGAGTTCAGACGAGAAAGGGACTTATATAGACAAGCATGTCTCACGAGGAAGTGTGTGATTATTGGAAACATCTGTTCTTAAGAGGTACTGGCTGACTGAAAAACTTTTTCGGACAAAGTCTAGAGCTTACAAGCGCGAGGCAGGAGAGTATGTTCATAAATATATATGTAGACTGAGGGGATAAATCTTCAAGTGGAGTGACAACGAAAAACAAGAGGAACGATAATATTTTTCATTGCGTAAATTGATGATAAGAGAACAATTTATTTAAAGTTGCTCATCTGACCCAGCCACGTGTTGAAATGAGAGAGCACCAACGAGCATAGAGGACCTGCGCTTATAAGAAAGGCAGTGTATGGCGACACACGGTGGAAGATTGAAGTCCTAAAAGCAAAAATTGAGCACGGGAGAAGTAGGGCAGGGAACTAGAAACATCGACTTAAGAATTATAGTCTAAGTCCTAAGAGATACAGGTTGTACTCGAAGGCCTAATGTTTTTTCCTTTGCTTTGTTTAAAATTTCGCTCTAACATGTTGGTTTGAAAATTTTTTTTCTAGTGGAAATTTTACCACTTAATGATACTCTAGCTGTATATTTTATAGAAAGCTATTTCGACGTAGATTAAAGGAGGGTTCTCCTGATTCAGCGTACAGATTTTATATTTGTGCGATGTTCGAAATGCGCCTAATGCTTAACAATGGCCTTGATGATAGAAGAGAAACTAGCATGCGTAAATACGATTTCCTAGCCGAACCGTACACTATGGAACCATACTCAGATTTAAATTATCTGATAAGACTTCTAAATAATTTCAATAATGTTGAGGAATTTGATCGTAAGTTCGTACTAGACAAAACCTTTAATAAATCTAAATCTTTTGAACATTAAGTTTTTAACCTTTTTATATGTGGAATAAAGGAGAGATTCTCATCAAATATTAATCAAATACAAATTTGTTTCATAAACAACATGAATTTGGAATCGGATATGCAAAAGTCAGTGTCATTCTGAATATGCCGTAACCGGTAAAGTAAAATAAACAGATTTGGCTTTTTACTTTGAAAATTTAAAACTCTTTTCTGTTGTCCATTTTTTAATTTTATGTAAGTTTTGTTGACTCTGACTTAGACTGTTTACATAGTTTTTGACCGATACAGGTAAATAATAATATGTCAGTGCCTTATTAAACAATTAATATGTATACATGTATACGTAAAATGAATAAATGTATATTAAGTGTATTTCAAATAAAAATCCCTTCACATAAAAAATATCGAAAAAAACCCACAGGAATATGCTTCCCTGAATAAGCTGTAATTAGGCATTTCAAGTCCATAGATATTAAACAGTTCCCATTGGGTCTTAAAGAAGAACAATAAAGGAAATGAAGCCCGGCGTTGGATTTGTCAGATTTCCGTACAAATTGTCGTCTGCAATAATAAAGGTAATATACAAGGCTTTCGTATCGCCGAATATACGATTTTTGACGAGAATAATAACCCACTCATTTGAGGTAAAGCTGGTGGACAAATTTTATTTATTCTTTAAAGTTCAGCCCAAAACAAATAAATTTATTCCTTAACCAATGCCAGGAAATCTTGATAATTGATAGCATGCAGATTTTTGTTAAGAGACAGTATATTAGCATATTGTATCGTTAAAGATGAAAGCATTTTTCAAAACTTAATTTCATTCTGATAATTGGATATATTATTTTCTTTCAAATAATAAACGTTTCACGCACAATATAATCAACAATACTAACTTAAGTTTCAAACATTGTAAAACTTAGCAAAGGTACACATGTAAAATATTATAATCAAGATCATCAAGGAAAGGCGGCGTTCAATAAACGTAATCCCCAACTGAACCAGCAACTAAAACGATATGTATTAGAAACCTTATAAAAAGTATTAATTTAGTTTTCAGTATAACAATGTTTATGTGAAGATTATATGTATTACTTAAAACTAATATGATATTCATATACTCGTATGTATAAGTATATAAAAGTATCTATATACGAGTATGCGAACAATCCTTTAAAACAAAAGATGTCTTGTAATTGGTGTTTATGTTTAGAGAAAGAAGTGTGGGATTATGTTTCAGGATCTACGATTACAAATAATAATACATTTTATTTTGATGAACGGTTAAATATATTTATCAAATGGCAAGCAATAAATATGTTAGGTAGTTTTTGGCACTTATAATATCAATTTGATGTAATAATATTTGTTATCATTGCCTATTTTAAGTCTTATTGCCTTTATTTTAATAACGAAAATGCCAGATTTTCACATAAGAGCACGAAGTGTTATATTTTTCAAAAATCGAATATATTCTACATGACAACACATGCTTTAACTATTAAAATAGTAAATCATTAGTATTTCAAACCTTCGTAAGCGCATTTGCTTCGTTATCTTATGTTGTATACGCCCAATTGCCTAGACGAATTTTCATGAGCCTCTCTGACAAAGATGACATAAAATTCTTATATAAAGTGCTAGACTAGTTTCGTTAAATACAAAATTTATTGTGTCCCATATTATTCAAACCATAGACAAGTCATGAAGAAATTCACCCCGTATCAAAATATTGTCAATCTTATTTAGTCAATACATTCCATAAAGAATACATACATATTTAAGAAGTCTGAAATTATGCAAGATTGTTAGAAACCATCTGAATTAACCATGACAGTAATTTGCATTTGGTATAGACATTGCATTTACTATAAAATATATCTAATTAAGTGTCTGTCCAAAAGCGATTTCTAATAGAAACCAAGTAGACAATTATATTGTTACCATTGTTGCTGTCAATTATCAGATAGTATATTATTAATCCAAGTCCACCTACTGTCTCTACTGAGCACAAAACAAAACGTATTTCCACTTCGGTATTATAATCAGAAACATATTACGCGAATACGCGTTTCCTTTATGTTATATAAAAACGTCCTGTATTTTATAGAATGAAGTTTGTTCGGCTACGAAGCATCCAAGTCTTATAATTACATCATTTTGAATAAGACGCACGATTTCCCAGCGGAATTGGACGATATATTTTGCGAGTCGTCAATAAAAATACTAGTACATAAAAACATTCAAATACATCAGCTTTACACTGCATGTCCAAGCTTTGTTGCAAACATTTTATTTACATTTTCTTGAAATGGAAAAAAACAATTTGTTTTCTTGTCTACGTAAACAAATTAGTGACTATGAAACTGCCTTTAGTTTACCGAGATTTAATATCGTAGAACCAGGCTAAAATTAAATTATGCATAACACGTTGTCTCTACCAAAATACATCGGTATAAGAGCTGTTGCATTTTACTGTCATAAAACATCTGAATTTTTCAATATATCAATTTGTTGACTTTTAGAGACGATGATTAGGATAGTGCTAACCATTTTACGCCTACATAAAACCTCACTTGTTTTATCATTTACATATTTACTTAACATCTTTTCTCTGCCGACTCATTGATAATGAACTTATGTTTGGAGAAGAATTTTATATGATTTGACATCTTGCCGGGTGGTAGCTGTAAAATATGACCCCGTACTTCACTTCAATGTTTTACATTTTTTTGGTATTTCGGAATCATTATTTCCAGTAATTATTATTATAGTAATATAAAGATAGAATACCGCATAATGGAGGGTTAGGGGCTAGGGATATATTGCACTTTAACATTATCAGTCATGAACAGACTCAATCAAAGCGTGTTTGAAATTTTCATATTATATTTCACTGCTTCCGAGGGAACACCCCTTATATAGATTTTTTGTTTCATGCCTGACCCTTTAAATTATTTATAACACTATACGTTTCGATCTATTTTAATTGTATTTATTCATTTTGTTAAAGAATATTTACTTGCGCAGAACTGCTGTGAGCGATCTTTAACATAAGAATTATTTCCAGTTTTTGTACGGGGCCTAAAGCATTCTGTCAATGACGTTATATGCATTCAAACAAATAATATGTAGCATTTGCCATGTCAGATTTGCTTAAAAATTATAATCAGAATCCGTGGAGGGAATATTTGCTCCTGGTACCTTGTGAAAAATTATAATTCTAGAAAGAAAGCAACAAGAACAAAACGTTAATGTTGAAAATCACAGACTCCGTTTTATTAAGTTTGTCGAGGAGACATAATGAAAAGTGCAACATCTCTCACACCACTATTACCGGCTTAAGTAGTATTCAAACATAAATTCTAATAGAATTATAGGGATAAATGATCTCCAAAGACCAGAAAAATATAACAACACTAAACTGTTTTCTTATGTATCAAACTCAATGTTACAGCGGCATAATAGTGGGAATGATGATTGCATTAATACTATTACAATGACATATGTTATATATTCAAAGTTTACAATGAAGAATCTTTTTGTAAATACTGATTCCCATGCAGAGTCTGTAGAGATCTATATAGCAAAAGGTTTGAATTGCACATTCTGTTGAACTTTGAAAAGCTGCTCTTTGCTACGGTATTCGTTTAAACTTTAAAGCCACAATTTGATATTGCTGCTTTTGCGTATATAAAAATATGAAACATTGTTGAATTAACTGTGATTTTTATTAACCATTGAAATTCTTTGTGAAACATATACAACAAGCAACTTCCCCTTCATTTAACTTGTCTAAATAATTAAAGTCGTATGCTAAGAGTACATATACCCATACATTAAAATTAAATAACAGAATTTATATGAACGTTTTTCAGTTAATTTTATTATTTTGGGGTTTTTAGGTCATTTCGAGGGTGAATAACTTATATATGTATATACGTCTGTCAAACATAATTTCTACTATTGATTTTGTGTTTATACATCCTTGATCAAAATAAATAAAAGCATGGAGTTCCATTCAATCCTATGTGTTCCCTTTATTAGTGTTAGTACAGACACTGAAAATTCTTAAAAAATTATCATTTTTAATTGGATATAATTGAGTAAAGGAAAATATGAAGAAACTACCAACTGCTTATTATTGAAATTTTGCACAATCACTAAAAAGGTATATGAAAAACAGAAAGATAATTCCTAGCTAACATTTGCTCTGAATTATCTGCCCTTGACATTAGCAAACTATTCAAATTTAAGGTCAGATGACACGAAGATGAGGCCGGTGACGCACAACTTTCTTTCACTTTTAGATCATGCAAATTGTAGATTTTTATGAATTAACTATTTGAAATTAATTGAAATTCCTTGATTTAAACGTAAGCTTTTTTTATTCTTTAACACCCTCGTCTCTCTCTCCAAAGTGATCTACCAATTTATTATCTTTATCAGCTTTTTTGTCGTGTTCCCTCCATTTAGTTATTCCTTTAACTCGCAAGTATATGTACAACAAGAAGACAGTGAATATTGATAAAGCTGTTGCTATTGTTCCGTATCCGTGGATGACCTTTCGAAAAAGTATGATGTCGTAAAGTAGACAAGACTGACGTTCTCCACACGTGTATTTCCACAAAGAGCATGTTCCATCGACAATAGCACCAAATATAACTGGACCGGGCATCCATCCTAGAAAATACAAATATACGCAAAGGCTTTGAACGCAGTATTATCAATCTTGCCTTCGTACATATATGGTTGAGCAATTTCACCTGTACTTAAAACGATAAAGATTTATAATCATATTTAAAGAAATATGCTTATAAATCAATAAAATGTCTGGAATATTTTATTGTCAACCAATTTAGTTTAAATTACAAAATGTATTTTCGTCCAAGGAAATCACTATCATAAGTATAAACTGAAAGACATGTGATACAGTGTTAATCATTTAGCCGTAACTTTCTTTCAATAAACAAAACAAACAAGAGATACCAACGTCCAAATCCTAAGTTTTACGTGAAGCACACAAAGTGCTATTTCAAAAGCTGGACTTTCAGTGCAAACAATTGATCAATGCTAGATTTGCGTATGCAAGTAACGATATATTCACTAAAGAAATATAATGAAATAACTCCTGTGTATTTGTTAACAGAAAATAATTTGTATAGTTATCACTATTTTAAAGCTACAAAATGTAAAAATACAAATGCAAAATCAATACAGAGTATGGTCTATTACAGGATATATAAAGTGCCAAGCCCGTTACTTTTTCGTTGGCGATTCACCAATGGCATTTTATTTGCATGGGCCTGACTTTGCATCATACCCTGAATCAGACCATTTTAGATTTTGACCTCCAAATGTGACCCTGACCTTTGAAGTAGGGGTCTGGTGTTGCGCATGACTTGTCTTATTATTGTAAACATTAGTCTTGTTACATTAAGATCCTTTGAACGATATAATATTACAGACTGGACACAAAATAAATATGATGAAAGACCTTTGACCACTAATGGACCTTGACCTTTGAAGTAAGGGTCCAGGTTTTGTTCATGATAAATCTTGTTATTATTGTGAACATTTTCGCCAAGTAATTTCAAAATCCCTTTATGTATGAATAAGAAATGGACTGTACACATAATTAACCCTTTAACAGACCATGTTAAGCTTTGACCTTAAAGCATGACCCTGGCCTTCGAGGTAGGCGACTTGTTGTTGCGCTTGACGTCTTGTTATTGTTAACATTTGTGCCGAGTATTTTTAAAATCCCTTGATAAAAGTGAAAGTTATGAACTGGACACAAAATATACCATATAACAGACCATACGCATCTTTAACCTCAAAATGTGACCTGGACTTTGGAGGTAGGCAACTGGATATTGTTGTTGCGGACGAAAAACAACAACAAAATCAGTGGTTTTTTTTATGAAAAACCTACATACTGGAAAAGCGTAGAAATGATCAAACTACAACTAATGGTGTAAATTTCTCATATCGATGGAAAAATTGCTATAACTTATTAATAAATGATTAACATTGACCCATTAACGTCTACTTATAACTATTAATAGTCAAAGTTATCTCCAAGCGGTGATAATTGCATCGAAAAAGAATTCATCCATTGATTTAACTGTTGATTAGTCTGAATACCTAACGCTGACGATAAAAATCCAGAAAATGCTGAAGCAGATGCTCGGTCTCTCTCCTCAACACACCTGAAATACAAATTGATGTTAAGTGTGATCTTAAAGATCCTCCTAAACAATACTTCATTCTTAATATTGGTCCTACATTTTCAGTCATTGACAATTTATGTTTAATATCAAAGATACATAGGTTTGATACAGCCGATCTAAAAAATCTAAATTTGAAATAACCTTTCCCAAATATGAAACTCATTAAGTGCTCTTCAAAAATCTATAGTTTGTCTCATCTAGAAAATACACGTTGAATTGATAAACAAGAACTTTTGTAGTATCTAAGAGGCTTAATGAATCCGGGAGTTTATAGAATTATACTGGTTTACAATTCAATCACATCAACAATCAATCGTAAAGCATTACCTTAAATTAACAATTATGATTGGAATGATTTTAAAGGCATCAACAAATCTTCCAATAAATGTTATTGCAGAATAGATGTACAATTTTGAAGAACATCCTTGATCACATAGTCCTGGTGTCGCTTTCCCCGAATTGATGCACGTGCAGTTGAAGAATGACTGTAATGCAGTGATATATGAATGACATGAAACAAAGTGAAATATGAATATCATGCATAAAGTTATTAATGAATCACGAATATTCAGCATTAATCCTTTACTTTTTTATGTTCTTATCATCAAGTAAATCCTATTATACCAATACATTATTGAAAACAAATACATTTGAGACCACAATAGAAGCAGAAATTAAACCAAACATTTTAGAAAAAAATAACATACAGCACTGTTGATTAAATAATATCTTGACACGTACAATTTTTATAAAGAATAGCAATGTGTTACTCCTTAAGGGAAAGAAACTTATAATTAGTTGCTTATGGCAATGCATGAGCAGATTTTCTCGGTATACTTTAGAATAGAAGTAAATTATCTATTAAACTAAATGGCAATTCTAAATATGATGCAGATAAAGACCAGCTCGTTACATTGTTGGTTATGGTAATAGTGTTATTTACCTGAGCAATTTGTTCTGTGCAGCCAGCATGACAGGGACTGAAATATGTACGCCCATCTTCACCACACGCCGGGAAATATGCACCATCATCACAAGAACAACCAAGTATACAAGATCGTTCTATTGGCGAATAAAGTGAATTCAGCTCACGTCTATTGATTTAAGAAGAAGAAAAAACACAATAAAGAAATGCATTAAACATCGAATTGAAAATGACCTTTTTGCGATAATTTCAAGAAAACTTCATGTTACTGGAAAAGGATGACGTCTGGAGGACTTAAATATGTAAAACATTTACGTTTTTTTCTAAATGTATGTTTTGTCAGATTAATGTTTCATACAATTCAATAATTTAATTGAACATACCCGTGGCCATTGTCACCTACAAGCGTCGGTTGATCGCATCCGAGAAAGAACCCCGTGCTCATACAAATTAAATTTATAAAGTCGAATATCAATAACATCTTTAGAGATGTCCGGGGAGTCATCTCAACTCGGCGTGAAACTAATCCACCTAGAAATGAGCCCATCGCTAATGCAGCTATTGTACTTATAGCTGCAAAATAACAGTGTTACAATTATGCGGAGATTATTAGCGTCAAACTAACAGTTTAATTCAAACCTTTAGAATTACTTTAATAAGATACACATTTGCGATCCTATCTATCTGTGCATCCGTGTCTTCGTTTTGTTAACATGTTATAATATTTCAATAGATGAATAATATAATATGTTCTATATGGAACATATTACCTTCTATTAAAAAGAATCAGCACATGATTTTTTTTTTTAATTATATTTATTTTTTCTTTGCTTTTTACTACTGCATTTACCAATTCTAACAAAATAAATCCAATAAAAATATTTTTGATATCCTTTTACCAATAATGATATTCGACTTCCAGAGAGGAATTGTATACTGGATCACAAGATATTTCGGCATAAATGACAACATGCCCGACAAGCCGATAACGCTGATAACTGATGACAAAGCAATGGTTATGTAGATCGGATTACGTAACAATCGCCAAATCGTTTTACCAAAATCTGTATGTCAAAATCAGACAAAGACATACATGTAATTAGAAACATGTCTCTATATGTAACCTGTGATATACATGTATATTCAATATGAAATCTATTATGTATCCCAGTAATTAAGCCTCTATCATATCAGCTTTACGGCAGTTGTACGAACGCATTTTGAAATAAATCGCTGTGTTTTGTGCGGCAGGCGCAAGACAGTCGTACAAATTCTTCAGGTCGCTAGGTTGCTACAACGTCGCAAACTAACATCTCGACACGCACATTATTTCTGCGATTTTTTGACATATTTTGGACGTCTCAAGACAGTCTTGAGACAATCGTACGACACGATTTCAAGAAGTTCTCAAGTCATTATGTTTAGCGTTTGTCTTGCGACGACCACTTGGCTGCCTTACGAGCATCGTGAGGCCGTAAACGAATGCTGTCACATGAAAGTTGACAATCGTAAGACAGACGTGTAAATCGATCGACAGCCATGCGGCAGTCCTACGACTGTTGCGTCAGTTGCGCGTCTCATAGAAATCATATCATTTCAAAATCACATACATGTTGCAGCTCATACTTATGTTGTCCATGTAATCACCCTAGGACTCTCTTTCCAGCGTCTGGAAGAGGGTGTGATACAGGCCAAACAACCGACGTCGTGCAATCCAGGATTTGGCTCACCAACGCCTTGCCCGTCTTCTCCGATCCTGTTGAGCACTGATAAGCTGGGCAAGAAATATTGCGTGGCGCACTTCTTCTTCACGAAGTCTCCGTCTTAGAATAGTATTAATCAAATATAACCTTTGTGGTTGGATTACCATCCCGGTTTGATTTTTAATTTCGTACGATTGCCTAACGACAATCTTAACAATCGTACGTCTGATGCAGGGTCATTTTGCGACGACCGTACGAAATGTTGTTTGTTTTTGTACTACTTTCAAGCTTAAAATATCGTGCGAGCCATGAGGCGCCGTACGAACAGCGTACATCTGCCTTACGATCTACAAATCTGTCCGGATTGACTTCAAAATTGCCTGCGACCTCGTACGAACAAAATGTCGTGTGGCTGATATGATAGAGGCTTAAGTGTGAGCACTGATAACACTTGCACATGGAATAAACCAAAAGAAGTAAAAATGCAAATAAATATAATTTCGTTCAGATACTGTGTAATTCCTTAAGGTTAAAAATGTTGTTGCAATAACACATTTTATAGATCATGCGTTTGAAACAATTGTTCAACATTAATTTTCCATTGTAAATCACTAATTGTTATAATAAAACAATTGATGTTAATTATTGCTTGATATTCAATGTGCTAAATTTGAAATATTATAATCATATTTTACCTTTCACTTCCTGAATGAAAGTCTGGCCAGTCGATTTATGTGTAACGTGTTCCACGTTCTCCCCAGTCATTTCCAAATCTTTCATTCGACTTTTACTTTTCAGTTTGCGCGGGAAAAGCATGATCGGCAGACTAAAAACTACCGAACAGGCGCCAAATACAACAAATCCTAACCACCATGCACCGATCCATCTTGGATCCTTTGGTGTTATGTCAACCTCTGAAATTTAGTTACAGCATTACAAGCTGTTTGCTTATTAAACGTCGTTAATACCAAACATTTTATTTAAGGACGATCGTAGCCTAGTGGTTAAAATTTTTGACTACAAACAACTTTACTTTCGCCGTTGCGTGTGTTAGAATCCCGCCGGGGAGATTTTTATTTTTTCACGTAAGGAAGCAAGATTATGGAATGACGTAGTGCTTCTATTGTACCTGCGTGTGCCTATAATAATTAACAGAGGAGCACGGGAGGTTCTCCTCCAACACTAAATCTTGAAAGCTGCCATATGAAGTTTACTGTGATGGTGCGACTCAAAACCCAACATAAAATAAATACATTTATCCCGGAAACTTGACTAGAATGCTTTGAATATTGCAATGAATTTGATGTTAAATGCATTCAAGGAATTGACATAAGAACGATCATTACTTACTTTCGAGTGTAATGTATATATTATTAAACAGTCCACCAACAAGGTAAGCCAGAGCAGGACCAAAAATCGCAGTCCCTATGATAATTCCCATATAAAAACCTGTCTTTCGTTTGTCGACAGCGTCGTCTACATAAAGAGTTATGAATGGATACCTGACTGACTTTCCGACACCTTGAAACACCTAAAATTAAAATTGCTATAAATCTAAATGTACTTTTACAGAGATTGGACTAATCATTTTATAGTCGGAACTTTTCTAATGATTTGTCGATTATCTGAATATACTCATGTAACGTTGTTGTGATTCTTTTGATAGTGTAGAGGTCTTTGTAATACTTAAAAGATGAGAGATTGATAAAAACTACTATTTTCATATCACCTTTTAACAAACAAGAACTGTCGGAGGACAGTAACGCTCGACTAGAAACACTACACAAGGGTGTTTCATTGAGTATAATAATGCTTACCTACATGAAAACATAAAATTATCCGAAATGGTACAAAGGCTTGTTATTAAGATATTTATCGGGTTATTCGCTGCTTTATTATTATGAATGCATAAAATTGTTCCAAATAAAGGCACACACCCTTTACTCGTATGGAGATACATGCATACATGCAAACATTTAACCAAGAATTTCTTAGTCGATAAATGGGGCATAATTATGCAAATAATTTATAGGACTTGTGCAAATCATGTTAGATTATCACAGAGAACAAGTGTGTGAAGGTTCAATCCATTCCATTCAGTAGTTATGGAGATACCAGCTTACACGCAAAAACTTAACCACAGGGACGCCGACGCCGACAAATGGGTGACTGCATTAGCTCGATTATTCTGGGGATAGTTGAGCTAGAAACAATTATAATTTATATCCATATTTACGACATTCTTACCATTCCGATAGCAATAATGCAATATGCAACTTTCTTGATTTGAAGTTGTTGAACAACAGTCATTGATTTTGCAACACCTTCAATATCTGCAGAACATCTATCTCTGTCACCATTTGATGTATCATTTACACACATTGGGACTTTTCCACCAGGAGCTGTTGTATTTGTTTGTATATCAAGGTTATTAGTCATCTGATCGATTTCATAGGAGGAAAGATCTTGTATAAAGTATGGTAAAGAGCACATTATACCACATATACCATACAAAATGGTGCTGATCCCCAAACCTCTTGGTATATGTACCTTAACAAAAACAAATTGACTTTTATTTACAGACGAATGATGGTAATGGATTCTAAAATTTAGTGACTATATTCGGAATACATGAATGTATATACCAATTGAGTCGTGAAGGATAACAGAATTTATCATAATAATAATTTTCTTTGTCAATTTTATAAGTTGTTCAAAAATATTTAAGTGTAACTAATGCACTTGTTCATGTAGTTGTGGTAGATTAAATTGAATTATCCATTATAGAATTTTGGAAAACGTACATGCTAAAAGATCTTAAGAATGAGAAAAGTGTGTGCAATCTCGTAAAAAAATACCCGGGAAATGCTGAGCTACGTACCTAGAGAGCAGTGAAAAAATCATACTAAAGGTTTCCATTTATTATGAAACACATTCAAAACACGTTTTAAGATTGTATAGCTTACAAAAACTTGTGCAAAGCGATTAATAAATGTAAAGTAGTGTGTCATACATATACCTATCTCATTTGAATCGGAAATCCAATCTGGTTAGATAGAACAAATTGATTTAAGCTATTATCAAGGCTTTATTTAAGGACTTTTGAAGCCAAAAATGTCCTACAGAAACATTGCGAAACAAGTAAAACAGATGGAACATACTGTTTTGCTGCTGTTGTGCATCGCATTCAACATGGTAAAGGTGCTTTTCGAAATAACCTACGCAAAACAGGTAAAAGTGGTTCTTTTACTATACGTCGCACAGCAGCAACTGCTGATGTCGTACGTAAAATCCGTAATATGATTACGTTGGTTAATCCTCCCACAAAAAGAAATGGCAGCTAAATATGGCTGTCTCCATGCAATATCAACAGAGTAATAGCAAAACTACCGTGTTTATAGTGAGGCCCAGATTTTGAAAGGATTCGCTCGATCATGACGCCTATATCTCCGTCTTTACTGTGGAAAATGAAAAAGTGTTGACACCACAGACGAGGCTATATTTTTATTGGCTTTAGTTATGATCGATGTTGTGTTTGCTTCGTTCGAACTAGTAAGACAGATCTGAACAAACTGATGGTTTAAGCTACGGCAAAACATCTCTATTTATTATCAATAAAGGGGTAAAAGTCAATGCAAAATATTACATAGACAAAGTTCTAAAGCCATTTCTCAAAAAAGTTGCTCCGCAACTTTGTTTTTCCTGGAAGAGAGAACGATATGGTATTCAAACAAGACACGGCCTCTTATCATACCGCTAAAATGACCATTAGCTTTCTCGACAAACGCAAAGTGAATTACATAACACCTGCAGAATGGATGCAAAAAAGCCCAGATGCAGGTCCCATGGATTTGGTATCTAGGGTATACTGAAACGTAGGTAACATGAACGCAAGATTTATACCATGTCCGGTCTTAAAAAGGATCTCAAAGATGAATGGAGCAAACTTGAGCAATCATGCATAAATCGGACTTTAGAAAGCTGGCCAAAAAAGGTATAGAATGTTTTACTTTTGCCATGGATCCCTGATCTTTTGCAATTAAACACATGCGAGTAAATAATTAGGCAGGTTCTAAAATTGTTTCATAATAATTTGAACACCTCTCGTAACAATGTGGCAACTTTAGACTTAGTTCGATTGATTCTGTTTCTTTAATGACAGATGATATTAATTGCAACATTAGTTATGTTCCATTTTGACACACAATAACACAAAATGAATTAACGCAAAGAAAGTAGGAAGCATAATTTGTGTACCTTTCTTGCAATGAACCCACAGAATATAATACACGAAAGGAACCCAATATCGTTACAGCTCATCAGAAAGCCAGTCTCCGCGCTACTGAAACCAAACTGCTTTTCTAGCATAGTAACCTGTAACAAATATGAAAATATGAATATTCTGAAAAAGACTAACAATGGTACCTTTAAGATATTATAATCAAAGATTCGAACGTGTAAATTACATCAATCTTATCACATTCTTAAAATAATTTAATTGATCTTGTTTTCGTGAATTTCAACCAATTCAGTTCTAGTTCTTGTTAAGTTGGCAACAAACGTTATCAAAAGGATTGATAACCATTTTGTCATAAAGATGTAATACTGAATTTTACTAGAGATTATGACAAATCCAAAAGTATATAGGGTTACAGAGCAAAATAGATAAGTCGAAAGTTATTGGATACAACTTAACTTGACAGTAGAAGTGCCAAACAAGTGCTTATGTAAGACTAGTATCTGAGTAAAATTAAATTTGAAAATGAATAATTCAAGTTTTTTTATAATTAATTATAACATTTACGTTTAGCTATTGTCAGTTTCTTATTGACCAATATCATTATAATCTTAAAAAGTTTTTCTTTGTAGAAATAAGGGAAGGTATTCATCAATAAATTACAATTAACAAAAATTAACAATTCGAACTAAATGTGAGGCATATAAGTCTATGAAGGCTCTAAAACATTAATGTAAAATTTCATACTAGTGCATGTATATTGTTTCATCAATGAAATTACCTGAGAGTTTATATAAACAGCCAGCGTTGATGTCAGCAATCCTGATAAGCTATAAAAACTAACAAAAGCACCAATCCGTGCAAATATCTATAAAATAAGAATAAAGAAAAAATGTATACATTAAAGCTGAATCCATAAATATATATGAATATATTTTTGAAGCGTGTGTTACCCAAGCAAATCGTATTTTCCGATTGTGGGCTACTTTAATTTTTGACATAGGTACGTTTTGAATCATGGAATTATTTATAAAGTCAAATTTTAAGTTTATTATATTAATGTGTCATAACTTTCAATCGATGTTTTACAAAACAAAGGTGAAGTCATCAATCGATTGTTATTTCCGTCGTTTGAAATATCAATATTTGGAGCAAGAAGAAGGCCTGGGGAGCAGTTCACCTACCTGTAAGAAACCAGGACGGAAAGATCCAAATCCACATTGTGTGTCAGGATCGTCTTCTCTCGGCGTGTCGACATTTATATTGCCATCTTGATTATTAACCCGTGATTCCATTGTTGTAAATTCTTTCTTTCTTTTTGGCTACGTTTCCGACTTTCTAGCTTTCTAATATTAAATGCCTTGTTTTTGGCTAAGTATGATATTTGAATAATTTCATCTTTAGAGTACACAGAGCAACTCGATTTGAAAAAGAATGGATGACACATACTTTTAAACATAATTTGTGAAAAATGCACACATCAAATTACATTGAAAAATGCTTTGATCACTACGTAAAAGCATAGTATTTATAATACTGCTCGTTTGTAACGTTGTTTTTCATTGGATAATCGAGACGTCTATATAGTTTTATAAACATAGCTGCTGTCCATTCTCATTTTTTCTCTAAAAAGGCAGATTGCGGTTATTAAGATTCCTGACAGGTAACATGGCCATATATAAACGGTTATTTTCAAAACAATATTAGCCGAGCGGCTCGAGTTATGTATGTAGGCAACCGGTTATATAGGGCCATATAACCTGTCAAACATCTTTTAACCAATTATATTTATTTATGTGACATGACTTAAGCATATTCAGAAACAGATTATATTAAGTCTGAAAATATATCTTTTGAGTCTCCAGAATATAAATAAATATACAATGTTTATAACTGTTCCATTTTAGCACTGATTATGTGTTGACTGCTTTGTTTCATTATATGTTTAATTTAAAGAAGAAAAAATAAAAGAATTAAACAAAATAAACAAGAACTTACCTTTAATGTTTAGATCATTGATGTACAGCTTACACTGCGCCAATTCTGAACATTGCATAGTATAATAAAGAACACTATTTTTTAGTCACGAATTTTAAACTGTTAGTCTGGTCATTGTAAATTTATTGTTGAACACGTATCAGTTACGTGATTTGTCTTAACTTTATTCTCACATTTTTTTCCGATGCTGCTTTGTAACATAGGGTGTAGTTTATTGTATATATATTATTGTAATATATATATATATATATTTATTTAATTTTACCCATGAAATATGGTGCTATATCAGTTAAATATATTTCATATTTTTTAAAAATAAATATGAAATATAAATATGAAAGTGGGCGGAGTCAAAACTCATATTTATTTTAAGGGACTTCTTTCGCCGTTTTGTTTGAAAAATCTGATAAATACAAAACAACTTTTTCTTGAATTTTGTTTTGAAAACTATCTAGCATGATAGAAAATGGTCTAACTAAGAAAATTAATCCGAACACCAATATCTTTAATTTTGTAATTAACGCTGTACAGACGTTTAAAGAGTTGTTTACATGACGTCACAATGTAGCGCCAAACAGCGCGTGCTTATGCATAAATTACTGCGCGCTGTACAATTGCAGTTGGTAGCAAGCAGGGGGATTCGATACCATTTTCTTTGATAATGAAATTAAATAAACAGGTTATTTTTTCGTTTTTTGTGAAATATGGTATATATTTTCACTCAACATGATAAAATGCCACATATTTTCACTCGCCGTACCGGCTCGTGAAAATATGTGGCATTTTATCATGTTTCGTGAAAATATATACCATATTTCACGCAAACGAAAAAATATCCTCTTAATATATATATATATATATATATAATATAATATTATTGTAATATATATATATATCAAAGGGCGTCCAAGCAAGAAATGCAGCAGGTGAAGATGAACTAGGCATGACAGGATATTCTTATAATCTTTTCAATGGTTAATGGGTTTTTACCAGAATTGTATATCACTTATGAATGAACGGGCGAAAGACATTGTTCATTATTAACTTTGATTGCCATGCTAGAGATTAGAATATTACTTGTTCTTTCTTTATGATCGTGATTATTAATAACAACAAATATACATATACCGACGAGTATAAGTCAAAACTTAACTGTAAAAAGTCAGTAAATTATGGTTAATATTTCAATATATGATATTGTTTATTCTTAAACCATGTACATGTACATTTGTATTTTTCTTTATCATTTTTTAAATTAACCAGCAATTGAATAATTCATAAAATCTTATTTGTAACTTTGAATAATTCCTCGGCATCTTTACTAAACACGAATAACAAATTAAATAAAATGTTTCAAAGTTGATAGTGTCATATTAATACCATAAAAATGTACTTTTTTCTCAATTATTGTACATATTTATTGTTTTTATCTCATATAGATAAAATGAAACATGCTATTGTTGTTGTTGTTGAGTTTTTTTCGAAGTGTATGTTTATGTATAAAAATAATCAATAAATTTGAGAGTTGATCTGTGTTTATTAATTATTGGAACCAAACTAAGTGACAAACATTCATTTTGGAAAAAAAGCTTATTTATCTGTAAAATACTAGTTCTGTTCTGTAACGATATCAAACATCTACTCCAAAACCGGGGCCCAATTTAAGTCATCTTTAGTTAGATTGGTCATAATTAAAGTGTATTTATTGCATGTGTGTAGTTTTTGTGTGTTATATGATGACTTTAAAAGTTGTTTTTGGGTATTCTCCAGGAACTCATTTGTTGGTGGAAGGATTAAAGATGTACTACCCACCAGCTGTCAGGAGTTTTTTAAATGGTGAACTTAAACAGTGTTACAACAGAATGAAGATTTCTGAAAACAGTAGATGGCTGACCTATTATATTTTGGGCCTCATTAGACTTAGATAGTGTTAATGTTTAAAGTTGAAGACAGTATATAATTCATCAAGAACAGTGGAATCCAGAATTAAGCCTCAAATTTGACTGATTTACTATAGAACAAATAGTACGAAAGTTCACCGAACCGAGTCCTACTGTTCGCCGGTCACTAGTAAATCCCGGTCAAAATAGACCGGAAGAGACCAGTTATTACCGATAGAAGTACATCCCTCTATAAATAGTTTTTTCGGAATGTTTAGGTCTTTAACTCATCATTCAATTTACAGCTTTCGGATACCATAATAACCAACCGTGTACTACAATATGATAAATAAAAAACCCCGAAGAGCGCTATTTATTGACGGAATAGGTTATTTCATTTAAAAATGTTTGCATTGCGAAATTCTCCAGTTCGCTATTCATTGTACATATCGCGACATTTCATTTTTAATTAATAATCAAGCACCCTCATACCGATCGGAATGATCGGCTTTTATTATGACCGACTAAAAGGCTCGAGAAGTTGATGTCGCCCTTTCACAAAATCTGATTTCATTCAATAAGGGGCGCCGCGCTTCGGCGCGGAAGCCAACAAGTTTATTATATTGTGTCGTGTGCGAGGGTGGTTTGGTTTATAGTTGGGTGTAATGTGAACGTGGGCGAGGGTAATGGAATTATGTCTATTTGAATTAGGTGTTGCGGCGGCCGTAACTCATTGGCCTATCAAAATAAGACCAGTTAAAAGTTGATGCTGCTCTTCATAGACGCCGCCAAATGATGTGAACAGTAACAGGTAATGCACCCAACTAGCCTTGACAATTGTTCTCTATAACAGCTGAATATCCGAAGCACTTATCATTTTTTCTTCGTGTTCATGGTAAGTGCTCATTGTTTAATAATTAATATGTTTGTGAAAAAGTAAAACCTAATGCATAAATTCACAAATTAATATCATGTCTGAAATTCTGAAATGGTCTGCTGCGACAAAAATTGAAAGGTTTTGTCAAAGCAAAATAAATCGGATAACAAAATAAAAATGAAATTATTGGAGTACATTTATTTGAAATAAATTCAAGACAAAGGCAGGGGTAAGGAAAAATATCTCCGTTGCACCGAGAATATGTCCATTTAAATATTTGTGCGAATTACATAATGTTCGAATGATTTTGAGGACAAAGTCTTCTGTTATTTTACTAATAGCAAAATATGTCTGTAATATCAAATAATAGTTATGAATAAATTGTTAAATATAATCAATCCTTAGTCACGTATTGTTTATTTATAAAATAATTTAGGTGTAGATCTACTAAATGTAAGAACAAATCTAGGCAAAAGAGAACAATCGTCACAGAATCCTTCAAATTAACATGTAACAAATATTTGTAATACATTTTAAAAGAAAGTACTTTTCTCTTTCAGTAAATCTGCTTCATAACTTAAATGTTCATTATTTTCATGAATAACCACACGTTTTGCCTGTTTTGAAAAAAAAATCCGTAACGTCAAAAGTATCTCTATTGCGTATTTTACTCAAACCCCTTGTTCCCTGTCCGAATTTGGTTCCCGTCATTAGAATATAGACTGGCTCATTGGCACGTTATTTATTAGGTTAATAAAATTAAACAATGATTAACAGAAAACGATATTTGGACAAGTCATTATCATTTCAGTTAAACGTTTATTTTAATTCCTCAAAGCTCGGTGACATGTTGTACATCAGAAAAGCTTTTTATTAGAAAATTCGAAAACGGTGTGATTTTGTTTAAACAAAAAAATACACAAAAGCAAGACTAACATTTTCCCATTGCTGAATAGACGAATATATATCTACTAGACGCCGCGTGCACGCGACCTCTAACGAGCGGAATATATTCCAAAAGTTGTGGATATTGTTTGGGAATTATTCGAACCAAGGTTGTTATTTAAAGTTATTGTCTGTGTTGATCGTTATGAGTTTAGACTGAAAAAGTTCAGACGAAGACCCAATCTCCATCTCCTAAACACGTACTTCGCATGAGCATGAGCATCGGCAAAGACACAGTGACTGCACACCATCGGCTCCGAGCTCTCAAAGACAGCTATGAGCAGTCGTGTTTTAGTTTTTATTACAACTGTATGACAACACCGACTGAAAGACAATTGTTAACACATGCAAAAGCAAGACATAAACGAGAATTAAAGAAACAAATGAAATTAGCGAAACACATCTATTCCAGTCAATGACAGTCAGTCATATCCAGCATTATAAAAAATAAAGGATGCAATGAATACTTAGTATACGTAAAATAGGGGTAAACAAAGAACGCCATCAACGGCATGATTGAAAATATTGCATGGTCGGTTTAATTGAACCAGTTTATGAACGAAACTGGAAAGTGCAAACAACCTTCCACGTCCCTTAGTACCGGCTTAAGTAGAATTTAAAATTTAATATTTTAAATCTAGAAACTTCCGCAGATGTTTTCATACGGAGTTCATTATGGAACCTTCAAAGTGACGCTAGTACCAATCCATAACGCTAAATTA